AAATCAATTCATGCTCATTTAACAAACCAGCTCGTTCTCATTAACAACTCAATTCATGCTTATCAGCAAATTAACTTATGCTCTTTAGCAATCCAGTTCATGCTCAATAAAAAATCAACTTATTTATTTCCAATGGGAAATCAAACCATACTGAATTCTAGCATCACAAAACCATGCTTAAGTCTAGAATTTCAAAATCATACTTTCATGCTTAATTCATATAGCAAATATAGCCTTTAAAATTGATTCACCCACTCAACTTGCAATGTGGTTTTTCCCTAACAACTAATTATCAAACCTTGACTACCAATAGCTCCTTGAACTCCAATAATTCTCAAGCTTCAACACATAAATTCCTTCAGCTTTGTAGTATTCCACATATCCTTATAGAATCTTTAATTTCTTGCCATTCAAAGTTCTAGAATTTAACTAGCTAAACTTAAGCTTTAACCTTATGTTTTAGCTAAGCTTTACACATTCAATCATAAATCTAAAACCTCAATTACTTACACATCAAAACCTTACCTTAGTGACCAATTCTAGCCCAATTGAACCTCCAAAATCCTCCAACTTGGGGGGGATAATGTCTTGCTAGAACACAAACAAAGCAAGCATTACAACTAGCTAAATTTAACCTTAAACTACTAGAAAGCTTTACCTCACTTTGCGTACCAATTTCCTAGCTCCAATCTGCTATTAAAAGAGCTCAAAGATTAAAAAAAAAAAAAGTGGCCTTGAAGTGCATGGGCAAAAGAAATAGAGCTTTGTCTCTAACCAAAGGAAATTGGCGAATTGCCCAATGTGCATAAGAAAATATGGGGTTTACATGGGCAGTCAAAACATGCCATTAAGCCACCCACCTTTTTTTTTTTTTGTTTTGGATTAGAATTTTCCTTGCTTTCAATAGGGTTCTCAACTTTTCTTTATTTCCAATTTAGTCCTGTAACATTTTTCTCTTTTTTAATTTAGTCCTTCAACATTTCTCTTTTTCAATTTATCCCTCCAATATATTTCTTTCTTCTTCAATTTTGTCCATTTTCCATTTTATCACATTATTTTTCCTTGCAATTGTATCCTTTCTCTTGCAATTACATTATTCCCTCTTCCATTCCATCTCCATTCTTTTATTTTCTACTTTCTTGTTCTTGCAATTTGATCCTCATGGATACTTTTCCTTTCAATTTACTTAGGCAATCAAGTTTAAACTCTTATATACTTGGTTCAAAATTTGTTCTCACCCTTGTACGTAGTGGATGGTCTTGATACATTGTAGCCAAGTCCCAATACATTTAATGTTGCTCTCCAGAAGTTCAAGTCTAGAAAAGATGTCTTAATACTTTAAAGGTAGGTCTCGATACATTGGCACAAGCTCTTTAGAAATTAAAGTCTAGAGATGATGTCTCGATACATTTGGACTTGCTTTTTGAAATTTGAAGTCAGAAGGTGATGTCTCGATACCTTAAAGACAGGTCTCAATACATTGGCACTTGCTTTTTGGAAATTTAGACTTTTAAGATGATGTCTCAATACTTCTACGGAATGTCTTGATAACTTTGAGAGATGTCTCAAGACTTTTGCTTCTTGAGGCTATTTTTTAGGCATTTTAAGTTTGATGTCTCAATACTTACATAAAATGTCTCGATACCTTAATGCTGTGAGACATTTTCTAAGACATTTTGAGCTTTAAAATTTTACCAACACATAGCCATTTTTCTTGTAATACCTTAATAGGTTTTGTAATGTTTAAATACACTTTAAAACTTATATTTTGATTATTTGATTTTTTTTCATTTCAAAATACGATTAATTGTAAAGCTAACAATAAAGATGTAATTAACCTCAACTGTAAAATCTATGATCATTCTCTTTTTGGAACTTTTGCAACTAATCACTTTTCCATTATGAGTGAACATATATCCACTCTGTGATTTGTTATCATCCTTATTGATTTGAAAGATTGCATTACTAAAACGTCGAACTTGCTGTTCAACTTCTTTATAGACTAGAAAAACATTCTTAGTTGTTGTCAAATACTTAAGGATATTACTAATGGCTATTTAATGGCTATTTTGGACTTTTGACATGATGTCTTGATACTTCTAAGGACTATCTCAATACCTCTGAGAAATTTCTCAAGACTTTGCTTCGTGAGGCTGTTTCTAAATCATTTTAAGCTTGATGTCTCAATATTTACATAAAATGTCTTGATACCTTATGTTATGAGACATTTTCTAAGACATTTTGAGCTAGAAACTTTTATCAACACTTAGCCATTTTTCCTGTAATACCTTTAGCGGTTTTTTAATGTTTAAATGCACTTTTAAACTTATATTTTGATCATTTATAAACCCATTGAAATAAGTTAAGGAAGAG